AATTATGATTTTAAATCTTTATCAATTTTTGCCACTATCCCTCAAACCACTAGGTTTTACCCATTTGTCAGCAAGAGGTCTTTAATCATTTTAAATATAATAAAATTCAGTATGATGACCTTTTAGGTTTATATTTTAACTTATTTGAAACCTTAAAAGTAGACACTTTACTTACATGTCAAAACATGTTAGAACACATAAAATCACTTTTGTAAATTTCTTTTGACGCGGACATCTTAACGTCTTTGACCCGCATACATTTCCAGGAAAGAAATCTAAACATTGTATCAAGCCAAGTTCAAAATTCTTTCATTTAGGTATTTACACAGAAGGGATTTCGATTATCTCTGTTTATCACTCCACAAATCAGAAAACACTGTCAAACAAAATACATTTTCCACCATGTTTTAGGGATAAAATAAAATAGGAACAAATCCCTAAAATAAGTTTTTTATTTTATTATTTCATTTAAAGTTCATTTTATTTCAAATGAACACTTTAGTTAACAATAATAACCCTAGCTGTTACTTTTATTATTAGTTGAGAATATTTTGAATGTTTTAAAATTTAGATAAGATAATCACACTGTGATCACAACTGTAGCCTATTAACAACATTATAAATTAATATTATAAATATACCTAAAATATTATTTGGAAAATGTTTAGTTTCTATTAAGTCACATTATTATATTTTTCCACTTACTATAGTATTTATTTGTTTATAAAATTATTTTAATTATAATTTTTAAAAAATCTATTTTCATTTCATTTCATTTAATCCAACATAATATAATGAGTCTAATTTGTATTTATTCTATTCAAATTTATATCATTTATTTTAATCAAATTAATTTTATTCAACAGACAAAATAAATATATTTTCACCATGTTTTTAGGAATAAAATGTTATATAAAATGAATGATATATAAACAAACACCTCTATAAAAATCTTCTGGATATAAAATAAAATAAAATAACAAAAAGTTTGGTGTATGTAAATGCTGCTGAAGTGCAGAAAAAACTCCCAGCCTTTAAAGATATGAATTGTAACTGAAATCTACTGATGCAATAGACAAACTGCAATAAAATAACTACTTAAATTCATATTTTGGATTCCTTCCCCTAGTCTTAAATAAGATGTTATATAAGCAAAATAGCCCAGAAACAATGGTTTTGCATCAACCACCACATTAAAATAATCATAACATATGGTGTTGTGATGCTTACTGCTTTATAAAACCGTCTAATGTTCATTGTTTAATAAACTCAAGATGCTTAATCATTTATCTTGTGTCCTGAAATCGATTTAAATATGCACTAGGAAATTGCAATGCATTATTCATCATAAAACTAAATCAGGATATTAAAATTCATAACTGAAAAAAAAAATGAGGCAATTAAAAATGGTGAAAGTACCCTCTGAAGATGGATGCTGGTTATCAATAGCAAGTTCTTCTGTCATCTGGGCGATCAAATCATTGGTCTGTTCTGTCTGAGTCCTGCTGTCGGGCGGCTGATGAACCTGCACACATTAAACATCCACAGAAAGCGTGCTGTTGTGTCACTCATGGCAAGAGCATTTGTAGTGAAAGCTGATCTTGAATTACAGGCTGTGGGGCTTGAGAGGGCGACGGTCGTCCCTGTAGGGCAGCCAGACGCTCCTCCATGCCTTTAGCAGACGGCACGGGCTGAAGCGGGGACTTTAAGGCAGCGAGACGAGACTCCAGCTCCTTCTCTGACGGTATGGACTCTGATAGGACAGAGAGACAGAAGAGAATTTTAGATTGGTGTGTTTGTTTTATTCTTCTGTTATTTTTTTGCTTTGAGAAAGCAACTTTTAAAGGCGCTATACTAATTAAGTTATTATTAACTGAATATATTTATACAAGTTTTCTTTTTAAAGATGAGAAACAGTCGATCCAACAATACAGACGAGCTGAAGACTCAATAGTCAACAAGCTGATCGCTTCAATGCCAAACCTCACTGATGCTGGAGTTTGTGCTAAAGCAGCCCCGACCAAATAAATGAACATACTTTAAAGGGGTCATATGATGCGATTTCAAGTTTTCCTTTCTCTTTGGAGTGTTACTTAAGCTGATTGTGCATAGATAAGATCCCTGAAGTTGCAAAGACTAAAGTCTCAAAACCAAAGAGATATTCTTTATCAAAGTTAAGACTCTGCCACGCCCCCCTAAAACGGCTCGTTCTAATTCGTTATTTCAAATGTTGACGCGCGGCAGGCGTGCTCATAATGGAAGCTCATTTTTTCTAGGCGCGTCCGCGCCGCATCGGGATAAACACATTTCAACTTTTCAGCGCACCGCGGGTCATGTGACAAGAACCAACCAATCAGCTTCATCCTTTCCCGTAACAAAGCGCCGCGCCAAGCGTTTTCCACGCGTTTTAGGCGCGACATGTGAACGGCCCCTAAAGCATGTCAACATATTCTGTTACACCAAATACACAAAATAATGGTCTTTAAAAAAGCATCATATGACCCCTTTAACAGAACTTGAACTTTTCTGTTTTGCAAATACTTTTTTTTTTTTTTTTGATTGATCTTAGGAAATATTCTAATATTTTGTGATACTGGATTTTTGACTTTCATGTGCTGTCAGCTCTAATCATCTAAATTAAAACAAAGAAACTTTTGAAATGTTTCACTTTGCATGTAATGAATCTAGAATATAAGTAAACTTTTTCCACGATATTCTAATTTTTTTGAGATGCACCTGTATATGCATTATACTTGCATTTGGCAGATTAGAGCTGCATGATAATAAAGTTGACATTATATGACAATATAAACAATCAAGCAGTTCAGAAAGCAGATTTAGACAGATCTTACTTGGCTTGGGTTCCTCTTTCAGCTTGTTGAGTCGTTCTGCGATGATCTGGTCCTCTTTACTGAGTCCTCTGGTAGAAATCAGACTCACAGAGCTGCTTTTCGCTCCCGCAGGTCTGGAGGGCTGATTCTGCGGAGCTTGTTTGGCTTCAAGAGCAGCAAATCGCCTGTAAGACGCCACAGATCTGTGTTATTCCATTGGCATACAGCTGTATTTCACATGTGAGGCTTACAGATTCTTACTTTTTGTAGTTTTCAGGTGGAGACCACCTGCCAGCATCAGTCTGCTTGCCTGAACTGCACAGAAAAGACCTGTCAGTTGTGCATGAGTGAGTATACAACCAGTGTTTAGTCGGAATATAACCTGTGTTTGGCTTCCAGACCTGGTTAAGTTCCCATAACACTGTTTGCAGACTTTCTGCTGGCTGTTTCCATATTTTGGCACCACAACATTGAATGTCAGACATCCAGAGCAGAAAGAATGGCCACAGTTTCTACAACCCAACTGCAAACACACAAAACCGAGTCAAACACTTTCAATTAAGGCTGTGAAATGAGTTTTCGCCGTGTTTATATCCGCTAACCTCTTTTCTGAAGAGAGTGAACTTTGATGCACAGCCGTAACAGCGGTTATCCATATTGAGATTCTTCAGGGAAACACAAAAGCACAGTGCGACACTTTAAATGCTCAAGAAAATAATATTTAAAAGCATACATTTAGTGTATATTGCGATTTCAGATGCACTCTATCAATTCCATTCCTCTTGAATCGGAGCATGTAAACACCGGAAGCGCTGTGAGAACTGGGGGGTTGTAGGGAAATGTAGTTTTCTCGCTCGCAGCAATGGCAACTATAGTAGTTTGAGAGGATTTATACATGCGGAAAAGTTTAGAGGCCTTTCAGACATTATGATAAATACCTAAAATTACCTTAAAAGTGATTTTGTACAAAACAATCAAAATTGTTAAAGTTGAAACGTAGAAGGAAAACTCACTTTCCCAGAATGCAACACGACGGCCACGTTCTTGCTTATTGTCAACATTTAAAATACCTGTCAAAAACAACATCGCTATTATAATACATTAAAAATACAAATACTTTTGTTTATTAAAAAAAAAAACAATAATAGCCTGTTATTATTTTAGAGACGCTCTAATTGGCTGTCGCGTGGACACGTGAGCGGCTCGCCCAATCGGAATCTCTTTGGCGCGCTTCCGGTTTTTGTTCAAACGTCTTTGCTAACGTGAACACGAAGAGACAACACAATCACACAAGAGCGAGAAATAGATCAAATAAACGCACATTTGTGCATTTTTCCTTCGTAAAGTCACTTGGTTTGACGAAGAGAAGCATATTAAGGAGATTTCTGTTGGGAAAATGTAAGTTATATTTGTTTTCTGTAACATGACTTCCATGATGTGTTTTGTTTTGAATTGAACTGTGTGCAATATCACACGATCAGATACTTTTCTGTGCTTTTATTGTGACTTTTCCCATTATTTACTGCTTTATTTCGTCAGGAGCCTTGATTTGATGCTGTTTAGGACATTGTATTTACCTTACCATGTTATTTATGACTAAGTAACCATTCAGGATCATAAGTGCCATCTGTTCTTGTTCTTCTAGATCATGGCAGAGTGTGATGCTGAATGGGAGTTGTGTAAAGAAAATATCCAGCCTTTGAGACAAGGCCGCTCCGTATTGGCCCTGCACCAGGCTCTGTGTCAGCAGCAGGAGGGAAACCACACGGCCCTCAACCAGAAGAAGCAGTGAGGGATGCTTTAATACAACAAGTTCACCAAATAAGCCAGCTTATAAGTAGTTATTGTCACTTGATTTGGTTCAAAATAAGTCCGACTAACTGAAATAAGCCTGGGTTATTTGGTAAACTTGTTTTATGAAACAGCCCCCTGTTCTTGAACAGTTAATTAATGTTATTTTTCTTTTTTAGAGCGTTTGAGTCTGAGCTGCGGCTGTATGATGGAGACGATCCTCTAGATGTTTGGGTCAGGTATGGATTATTACGATGACAGATGCATTGCATGTTGATTTCTGATATGAATTTACATTTAGTCATTTAGCAGACGCTTTTATCCAAAGCGACTTACAAATGAGGACAATGGAAGCAATCAGAATCAACAAAAGAGCAATGATATGCAAGTGCTATAACAAGTCTCAGTTAGCTTAATTCAGCACACGTTTTTTTTTAATTATATAATAAATAAAAAGAAAACAGATAATAGAAACAGAATAGAGTAAGCTAGTGTTAGAAGCCTTTTTGCTTTTGTAAATTGTGTAATAAATAAAAAGAAAACAAATAGATAGAATACAAAAAGATTAGAGAAGCTAGTGTGTTTTTTTTTTTTAAGAAAACAAGCAGTTAGTAAATGAATAGAGTACAAGTCTAAGTCTCTTTTAAAGAATAGAATTAGAATAGTATGGATGGCCGTTTCAGGCCACTGAATTAAAAAGGTAATTGCGACTTTTTATCTCACAATTCTGACTTTTTTTTCTCAAACAGTTAATTAATGTTATTTTTCTTTTTTAGAGCGTTTGAGTCTGAGCTGCGGCTGTATGATGGAGACGATCCTCTAGATGTTTGGGTCAGGTATGGATTATTACGATGACAGATGCATTGCATGTTGATTTCTGATATGAATTTACATTTAGTCATTTAGCAGACGCTTTTATCCAAAGCGACTTACAAATGAGGACAATGGAAGCAATCGGAATCAACAAAAGAGCAATGATATGCAAGTGCTATAACAAGTCTCAGTTAGCTTAATTCAGCACACGTGTTTTTTAAATCATATAATAAATAGTCGCAATGACCTTTTTTATTTTTATTCAGTGGCGGAAACGGGCTTCCATAGAATAGAGAGTGCTAGAGTTAAATAAAGATATGAAAAATCATATTAGATATGAAAAATAAAATATGCAAATCATGCAAAATTCTTGTTATTTTAATGCAGGTACATCAAATGGACAAAGCAGACGTATCCACAGGGTGGAAAGGAGAGTCATTTATCAGTGCTTCTTGAAAGAGCAGTTACGCGCTTCACAGCCGACAAGAAATATCACAATGACGTTCGCTACATTGAGCTCTGGATCGAGTTTGTGAGTGACGAACCTTCTAGATGAATATTCAGATGGCATTATAGTGTTTTAAACGTGTTTGTTTCTGTTTCCTGGCAGGCGGAGGGCTGTTCTGACCCGATGGACATCTACCGCTACATGCAAGCTCAAGGCATCGGAAGCATGCAAGCCGCGCTTTACATCGCCTGGTCTGAAGAGTACGAGAAGAGAGGGAATATAAAGATGGCGGACAGTGTATTTCAGGATGGCATCAAGTGTGGAGCAGAGCCTGCAGAGAAACTACATGCATTTCATAGGTTTGGAAGCTTCCATTGAATATTAGTACATTAATCTCTGTCTGTCCTCAGATAAATTCATGAATTTCTACAGTCTCTAAATGATCAAACTTAGGTTTAAAACCTATTGTTCACAATCTACTCCCATTTTTTTATTCCTTTTAGTGTAATTGTACAAGCGTCCAGCTTCAGCTGCTGCTTCTCGTGTCAAATCTTTGCTGATTTTGATCAAGTAAAGGTCAGAATAACTGCAGTAATATCTCCAGATGAACACTTACTGGACTGAAGCTGCTCAGCTTTACTTGATTCTCCATCAATCATGTTTTAGAGTCTCAATCACTGCATTATATGTTTAGATCATTTCAGTCTCATCTTACTAAGACTAAGATTACTGGAGATATAGAGCGACGCCTGATATTTAGATCAGTTTATGTCAGTATCTGCTGTGCTGTTATAAAGATCTCATTGATTTACATCACAAGCAGCAGAATTTCATCATATAAAAATATCAGCATCTGCACCAAACTGCATATTTTTGCTGATTTTAAGTCTCTGAATTTTAAAGATTTACTTTTTTGGTCTAAAGGTTCAATCAACTTTTCTATTTAAAAAAAACTACATTACATTTTTTCCAACTATTATTATTATTATATATCAGGCTTTACAGGGTTAAATCAGTGCATGCTATTCTAAAACTGGACAATTTTAACAATTCATAAAATTAAAGCTCTGCCCTCCATTTATTCCTGTTGATTATATTGTTTCAATCTGAGATATCACTTTAAACTGCTGCCGCTGCATTGTAGTGTTTTCTAGGTTCTCATCATGAAATGTTGATCTCCAGAGCTTTGCAGGCACGAGCGTGCAGACAGATGATGTCATCCATGACCGATCAACACAGAGATGATGATGATGATGAAGATGAAGGACCCGCAGAGCCTCAGCGATCCTCACTGGCTGAGCTCAAAGCCAAAGGGAAGAAAAAGGCTGTGGTTCCCATCAACAGAGGGAACGCATCGGTCGGATGTGAGCAGAAACTTTAGTTTTTTCTGTGTGTTAAGCAGTAAATTCAGGAATCAGTTGCGATCACGCTGTTGTTTTGTGCCACAGATGCTCGCGGGCTCCAGTTTAAGCAGCCGCTGGGCTCCAAACAGAACAGTCGGCTGGTGGTCTTTGATGAGAATAAAGCTCCTGAAACAGAGCTGCAGGAGCCCAAACTTGAGATCTGGACAGCGCCACCTGCTGCCAGAGCCAAAGAGAACGAGCAGAAGCCTGAGAAGTGGACCAACGTGAAGGTACGAGTGCTGGGAAGTATGCTAATGTTACTCGCTTAACCAGTTACCTGACCTGTTTTGTGTCTGGAGGCGTTTGAAGGAGAACGGAGGCTGTTAACTGACAGATCAACGTTCATTATGAGGTAAATGTTGTCTGTATGTAATTCCAGATGCCTCTGAAGTCCAGATCGGGCCTCAGCGTCACCGTTCCGCCTCCTAAACCCAGCTTCCAGCCGTTTGTGGAAGAGGACGACCAGCCTCCCGCTGTGTGAGTGTGATCAGGAGATGCATGACGAGTCTCTCAGCGCATGGAAGATTGGGTTTTTGCTCCTTTATGATAACATTTGTTTATATGAACATGCACTAATGAAGGGGTTTTTAACTGGGCTGGGCTCTATGGAAAAGAAAAAATTATAATATATATATATAAGTTATTTGATTTTATTAAGAAGTAAATAAAAACAACTAATATATTTAAAATTTGATTAAAATAAGTATTATAATAAAATTCCATAAATGTAGTCTAATAGAAACTAAACATTTTCCAAATTATACATGTTTATAATATAAATTTTTTTTGGCCTATATATATATATATATACATATACACACACACACACACTTTATATATGCTTTATATGTGCTATACAAGATGCCTTTTAAACTTTAAGTTGAGGATGATCATATTTTGAGTCCGTGGCATCTAAAAGATTGGAGGATTGAATATAAATATATGTATCATTTTGAATTAGTTTTTATTTTGATGTTTTCTGTCTGCATTTTAATTTTAGTTAAAGTTTTAATAATTTTGCTGTGTATTTTATGGAATTTTACTGTTATTTTTTTAATACCTTTATTTTATATTAATTTTTATTTCAGTTTTAGATATTTTAACACTTGAAATTAAACTAAATGAGAAATGTTGCCTCAGCAACTAGCTTTTTTATTTTAAAATATTTCATTATTTCAGTTACCATTTATTTTATTTCAAGTAAATGGAAAAAGAGAATATTTTTAAATGGTTTTAGTTTTGGAAACCCCTGTGCCAATGTTATTTTAGTATCAGTATATTATGTTAAAGTTATATATAGTTTTAATTAATATAGTTTTTATTTTATTTTTGCATTTTAATTTTGAAGTTTTATTAGTATTTTTGTTGCGTGTTTGTCATTTTCACTAGTATTATTTTGTCTATATAAATTATTTTTTATTTCTGTTTTAGTTATTTTAGTACTAGTTAAACTAAACAAAAATGAGAAATGTTGCCATGATTATTGTTCAATGTTAAAATAAGTTAAAAGGTGCGTCCCAAATCGCGTACTTATGCACTATTCTATGACGTTCTGTAGTATAAATAGTGCGAGTAGTGCGTTCACACTGAAAATTCCAAAAATAAAAAGTGCACTTAAATAACCGAAAAAACGAAGTGTGGAATGTTGGACACTTCATGCACTTGACTCAACTGTCGCAGATTTAATTACGTAGTGAAGGGGCTATCAGACTCCGTTTATGAATGACAAAATAAACATATATAATTCATACACTACATGGTTGAGTGCATAGTGCGTCATTTGGGATGCAGCTAAAGTTTTTAATATTTTACGTAAGCTAATATTTATTTTAAGTAGCAAGTTTTTAATGGTTTTAGCTCATGCTAATAGCACTGCACTATCATACACAGTAAGACGAGGAACATGCATTAACAAAGTAAAATAGGATGAGTTTGATTTCACGTCGACTTCTAATGATTTATCTTCTATAACTGAAGTTATCGTTTCAGTGTACTGACCTCACTTCCGTCATGTCTTCCTGCAGCACTCCGTGTAAAATCGACCCGGCGGTGAACTCGGTGCTGTCGGTCAGGAAGCCCTGCAGGCCGGAGCAGACGCCGCTGAAGATGCTGCAGGAGCGGATGCAGCTCCAGACGCAGGAGGACGGGAAGAGTCGAGAGCAGAGCATGTACTGCAGAGAGCTGCTCTACAGCGGAGCCAGCGAGTTCTGCTTCGAGGAGCTGCGGGCCGAGCGCTACCGACAGAAACACGCTGTCAAACTACAGCCCAAACCCGTGGAAACCCATGCAAACTGAAGCGCTTTCTATCTAGAGAGCAGGCTTGCCTACTTACTGTCATTATTTGTTGTGTATAACCATTCCTGTGTTTTTGTACATACTTTTTATTTTGTATATACATACTTTTTGTAACGCCACATTGTTTTGGAATTTTTTTTTGTATGTTGCAAGAGAAGCATTTATATGAATAGGCATGATATTGTAATTTGTTTGTATGTGGTAATTAATGCTACAATAAATGCAACTGGTTACATAATATCAAACTGCTTTTGGACTTTGACTTCAGGAACTGCGTTTGCACTTTGTTGCAGTCACACACACTATCAGCAGAGTTTGCTTGGAAGAAGATTCTAAAGTAGTTTATTTGCATGGACGTCAATGTCATTTGTAACTGAAACGGGGTAATGTGGAATATAAGTCTTTTATTGTACAAACGCTGCAGCGTGAGTTACACACTTAAGTTTAATATGCAATTCAATAAATGTTATTCATTTTTATTTCAGTTTTAGTTAAGTACTTTACATTAAATTGAGAAATGCTGCCTTGGCAACTAGCTTTTTCTAAATATTTAGTAAAAAGTTTTTAAAAAAAATGGTTTTGGTTTCATTTATATATTAACAAGAATATATAGTTTTTAATTATCATTTTGAGTTTGTTTTTATATTTTATTTTCATTTGATTATTTTTCTGTTTACACAAGTTTTAGTAATTGTGCTGTGTTTTCTCATTTTTAGCTTAGTCTAATTTTATTTGTTTTGATTTCAGTTGTAGTTATTGAAGTTAAACTCAAATTTTGCCTTTGGCAACTAGCTTTTTTTCTAAATATTTTATTTCAGTTGCCGTTTATTTTAAGTAAATGAAAAAGAAAATGTTTTTAATGGTTTTAGTTTTGGAAACCCCTCCGTTATTTTAGTATTATAAAATATATATAAATGAAAATACATGTTTTTTATTATTACTTTTTAGTTTTTATTTTGGTATTTTCTGTTTGCATTTTAATTCAAAATTTTTATTTTTTATTTTTACTGTTTTTAATCTGTCGTCTATATAGTTTATATGTTCAGTTTTAGGTATTTTAGTATCTAAATGAAACACAATAAGAAATGCTACTTTGGCTATGACTGAAATAAAATATGACCGCTCGCTGCTGATCTGAGCTGCTTGAAACAAGTCTAAACAAATCTTATTTCTCTTGATGTGGTTTAAAATAGTACCACAGAGGCTTGTCCATCTGTAGGAACAGACTGAGGAAGAACACTGTTTTAGTCTAATAAACCTGTAATTAATGCCCTGACCTTCTTTACTAATTCACTTAACTTTATTGTATTACAGTAGTAATTAAAAAACATGATTTTAATTAAAAACACAATTAATTCATAACCACATAAACGATCAATATTGGCCAAGCGCTTAACAATTAGCATACATGCATTGTGAGGTTAGACTTGTATTTTCTGGGTGCGGATGCCAAAATCATCAGCTGAAGCCTTCAGTGAACGGAGGATCATCAGCTCTATTAATACGCTAAAGATGGAAAACAAAAGCACATTGGGCATCATTGTTTCGGGATGGACTTAAATTGCCCTGCGCAACAAAAGCTCTTTAAAGGACCAAAGCAGCAAAGCAAATCACACTACAGACGATTTGTGTATTAGGGAATTTTGCAGCAGTTTTACATTTGATCTGATGTATTAACAATGACTGTGTTTCCTCCTGCGCTCATAGACGAGCATTGAATCACATCAAGAGCTGTTCTCAGGGGACTTCTTCAGCTCATAATGAGATCAAACAGCATCTGCTTTGCACTTTATTACTAACTGAGATGTAAACATCTCTTAAATTCAAAAGTCTCGTGGTTGTAGATTAACACTTTAAAGCTATTGATTATTATTGGGTATTGTCAGTGGCTTTCATGATCTGACTTCACGATTAACCTGATAAACTAAAATGTCATGAACGTTTTATTTTTTAAATTAAAATTAATTTTGTGGGGAGCTAAAAGTACAGAAGTGTTGAAGAAAGTCTTATTAAAAGCCGGATTAAAATTCTTTAAAAAAACTTGATTTTGAAAGCAGTTTGAAATAAAAGTTTATTAAATATTCTATAAATAGTTTATAAAAATATTTTCAATATTTGACAACCTTTTGTCCACCTTTTGATACTTGATATCAAATAATATACAATACTAAATAATATAAAAATACTAAAAAATATTAAACATACTATCCAGCAAATAAAGTCAAAACATGCAGTTGTTACATTAAAACAAAGCAGAATTAAAAACAGAGTCATTTGTACCTGATCTGAATCATTAAAATGCTGGCAAAATTAGGTATTTAGGTTGATTTTAAATTACATTTAAATAATTATTGTTATTTTAAATTATGATTATTGAATTAGAGCTGATATTTCAGCTGGAAATTATGGTTAGCGTGGTAAATATTTGATGATTCATCCTCTGCCATCTGTTATTTCACAGCATCACCAGCCTGTGATGACCCTCGTTACAATCTCATTAATTATTCATGAGCTGATTCTGACACGTTCAACTATTCACCGTTGATAAAACGTTAATTTATTATTAACGGCAGACTTCAAAAGTGTAAACAAGCAGTAAAGTAAAAACAGAGCGGGTTGTACACGATCTGACCCATTAAAATACCTTAAAATCCTAGGTTGATTTCGTCATATTAAAACACTCAAATCATATATAGACCTGTTTTTTAATTGTGATGATTAAATTAGCGCAATTTCTGGCATTTCTGCGGCGAACTATGTTTATCGCGGTAAATATTTGATGATTCATCTTCTGCCATACGACTGATATTTCATAGCATCACCAGCCTGTGATGACCTCATTATAATCTAATTAATTATTCATGAGCTGATTCTGACACGTCGATTACCGTCGATAAAACGTTCATTTATTAGTAACGGCAGACTTACGTGCAGTTGTTAAGTTAAAACAAAGTAAAAGTAAAAACAGAGCGGGTTGTATCTGATCTGACTCATTAAAATGAATTAAAATCCTGTTAAAACCTAATGTAGGTTAATTGATTCATCCTAAATCACTCAAATATATATACTATTTTTTAAATGTCATGAATTAAATTAGCGCAATTTCTGGCATTTCTGCGGCGAACTATGTTTATCGCGGTAAATATTTGATGATTCATCTTCTGCCATACGACTGATATTTCATAGCATCACCAGCCTGTGATGACCTCATTATAATCTCATTAATTATTCATGAGCTGATTCTGACACGTCGATAAAACGTTCATTTATTAGTAACGGCAGACTTACGTGCAGTTGTTAAGTTAAAACAAAGTAAAAGTAAAAACAGAGCGGGTTGTATCTGATCTGACTCATTAAAATGAATTAAAATCCTGTTAAAACCTAATGTAGGTTAATTGATTCATCCTAAATCACTCAAATATATATACTATTTTTTAAATGTCATGAATAAATTAGCGCAATTCATGGTATTTCTATTGGAAACTATGTTTACCGTGGTAAATATTTGATGATTCAGCTTCTGGCCTGTCATGACCCTCAATCATCTCTGAATTATTCATGAGCTGACCGCTTTATCAGCGTGCGACACCTCCTCTCATCTGAAGATACCTGCCGTCTCAAATCACGCGCTCACTTGGAAACGCTTCACCACGGCGACAGAGGGGGCGTGAACCGTCTCCTAGGTAACGCTGACACACACACACACACACACACACACACACACACACACTGGAGGAGAGAGAGAGAGAGAGAGAGAGAGAGAGAGAGAAGAGAGAGAGAGAGAGAGAGAGAGAGAGAGGGAGGCAGGCTGTTCTCGTTTCCTCTAGATGCGGATTGTACCTTGTTTTCTCCATGGCATCATCACGGCACCGGTAGCAAGGGATGCTGGGAGATCAGATGCGCGGCTTGGAGCATCATCTCTCTGAGATGGCAGAAATGCATCGCGGCGTCCTGCAGTGGGAGGCTGATTGAGCTCACACAGCACCACAAAGCCTCTTCCCAGCAGGAGAGGCTCCTAAAATCCTCATCACACAACGGCAAGGTAAGAAGAGCGGCGTTTTGACATCTATATGCGAGCTAATGATGCTGCGCGCGCAGCATTTGTGTTCCATCGCCGGATAACGACGCGTAGATAGCGAGCAAAAGCACAAAGCCTAGACGACAATGAGAAGGTAAAGCTGTGCTGATGAGGAAATGCTTTTACCTTCTCTCACCCTCGCGCATCCCCACCTCCTCCGGCTCTCTCGCGCTGCATTTGCATGCAAAGAGGAAAATATACTCGATGCATCATTTGGGCTTCCTCAGATCGGCACACTCAAAGTGAACCTTGCAAAAAATGGCAGGAACTTACAAAATGGATCCCATAATGGAGCTGATATATTAAAGTTCCTTCAGCCAATTATAGGACATTCGAGGCACCCTCAGAAGCACGCTCCAAAGGGCGATCTGAGGAAGCTTTGTCATTTTTAAAGTGAAGAGTCAGTCGTACTTAAACATTAAGGGGATTTTTGCAGCTATGCCATTGAAGAACTATTTTTGGTTCTCCGAAGAACCTTTCACTGAACAGTTCTTGAAAGAACCACTTTTATCTTCTTAAAAATAAAGGCTTTTTCTTGGCATCCATGGTTGAGGAACCTTTAACATCAATGGAAACTTTCCTTTGCATAAAAGGCTCTTTATAGTGGAACCAAAAAATTGGTTCTTTTAGGAACTGATCATTGAAAGGTTCTTTGGGGAACCAAAAATGCTTCTTCTATGGCATCACTGCAAAAACATTTATTTTAAAACGTATAGTCGTGTGAAGAACATTTAATAATCTAAAGAATGTTTTTCCACTATAAAGAACCTTGGAAGCATTCCATAGATATTAAAGGCTCCTCATGGGAACCATCAATGCCAGTGAAGAACCTTTATTATTAAGAAGAACCATTTTTGGTTCCCCGAAGAATCTTTTCTTTAAAGATTTTTTTAGTGCGAAGAACATTTCAACAATCTGAAGAACCTTTTTCCACCATTTTTGTGGAACCTTTTGTGGAATGAAAAGGTTTCATGGATAATAAAGGAGATTCGTGGAACTACAGATGTGAATGAAGAACCTTTATTTTTAAGAGTGAATGAAAAGCCTTCATGCAAACGCCTCAAATTGACCAATAATGATATTTCATTCCAAATGCAAGAGCTTGTGCACATTTTACTCTGTTAAACGGAACAATTGGCATTGAAATCTTTGAATCTGAATACTTTCACATGCACTTTCAAAAATACCAGGATCTTAGTCATATTTGTAGGTATGCATATATAAATTTACATTTATGCATATGGCAGCCACTTTTATCCAATGCAACTTGCATTGCATTCAAAGCACACATTTACATGTTATCAGTTCTTGCCTACCCTGGGATTCAAACCCATGACTTTGGCATTGCTAGTATGCTTTACTGTTTGAACTGGAATACATAAAGTAAATAAACGTACAACCAGTGTTGGGGAAAGTTACTTTTAAAAGTAATGCATTACAATATTGCGTTACTCCATAAAAAAAGTAACGAATTACGTTACTTAGTTACTTTTTATGGAAAGTAATGCGTTACGTTACTTTTGCGCTACTGTTTAAATCTGGACAGGGTTTGCTTGTTTGTTTTTAAAATAAAAAAGTAATATTTTGGCAAATATAAAAGCCTTTTCACACCAAAAGTGAAATGAATAAGCCTCAGGCTGAAGGGAAAGTAAATTTACGTCCGTACAGTAGAATGCAGAAGAAGAAATTTCAACACACTTCAGCAGTAAAAAAAGACACACAAATGTTCGTCTAGAGTAATTTTTAATTTTTGCTTATTAGTACGGTTGAACTGGATCATCGGAGGTCAGAAGCAAAGACATTGGTTAATAGAATGGGATTAAATACATAAAGGATATTTGTGTTGTTTAACATTTAATTATTGCAGGTTTGCATCATATTCTGAGTTGCATCTTCTGTTGCATACAGTAGCATCTTCTGATTTCTCTCAACATGGGGACAGGAGAGCTGTCAATCAATAAATTGGAAAAAAAAAGTAACTTGCGTTACTTATTTGAAAAAGTAACTCAGATATTCTCTTGTAAATTAAGAAGTAATGCATTACTTTACTAGTTACTTGAAAAAAGTAATCTGATTACGTAACTCGCGTTACTTGTAATGCGTTACCCCCAACACTTGCGTACAACAATATGCTGAGAGAATCTAAAATTTGAACAGATCTCCATGAATCAACTCAAAAATGATCAGAACCTAAATTGCAAATGCATGAACTTTGCTGTCATACGTTTATATCTCCAAGATTCACTATCTATCCAAACAAAAGAAAATGCACATATATGAAGTCATAGTAAAAACATGACCAGTTTGTATCTGCGTAGTGCAATGTTTTGTCGCCGGAGGCTTGTACGAGACTGCATTTTGCAACACAGCTTTTCTTGTCTTGTTTGTTAAATTAGTAACAAGAAAGCTTTCTTTCTATGAATAGTTTCAGATGTGTTAGAAAGGCAAACAATTACTCACAGCGGTGCCATGATGAGCTTCTTAACTTCTTTAATCAGTCTCTTCCTCACAAGGTTTAGGGTTGACTAGTTAGTAGGGTAGGGTTAGTTTGCCTCTGCTGGTGGATGTTGTAACTACACCATTATGCGGCAAAAGCAGTGTATTCAGTGTATTCTGACAAAATGACTTTTTTTTGCAAGCAACATGTCAAATATTTTATTATATGTTAATAGATGTTTCACCAGGGGCAGATTGTTTCTGGAGGCTCGTAAAACTCTGAAATAGGCTTTTATTTATCCGTGATGCCACTGCTCTAGTTCACCAAACATCTGTGCATGTGAGCATCTCTGTCTTGGTGTTGTTGAGGTGAGACGGCAGAATCTGGATGTTGGATTGAGTGTTTCTCGTGCCGAATGTTTGGAAGTGAACGTCCTCGTGGGACGTTTGCTGCTGTCAGACCGTGTTTATTCTCGTTCCGGCTCGAGCGATCATGTGAACTGATGTTATTAGACAGTGAGCTACACAAACACCAGAAAACATCCCGATGCCTGTTGCAGGGTTTTCAGATATTTCTCTCTGGGATGAGAGTATTAGTAGTGTTTAAGACAAGCATCCCTAGCACTAGTGCTCATGATAGTGATGTGATAAAACCTCTAATACCATACTGTTAAAATGATTTTTAAAAGATTATTGCAGGATGTTTTAGAAATCTTTCTACTTCAAAATTTCAAGTTTAATTCAGTGTTACTTGTCATTTCTTTGTAATTATTTGTGAAATTTACTAGCAATTTCTGAGTGAAAATTGTTTCAAAGTAGGGCTGCCACTAATGACTATTTTTATTTCGATTAATCTATCGACTAATTTATCGATGAATCTAAACGATTAATTTCCCACAAAAAAAAATCAACAATTTTACTTAAGAATATTTTATTCAACTATATTTCATGATGGAGTTTGAGACGCTCCACACACGTGTAAATGATAACAGTTCCTGTGGAGCTACTGTGAACGGAGCCGCTGTGTGATGCATGTACTTAACCTACACGCATGTAAATAATTAAAGCGCAGATACTGTATTAGAACTGCATCGCATGTAAATATTGGAAAATTAGCCTTGGAAAACAGACTAATAATGTGTTTTATGACTTCTCGTCCGTGAAATGCGCCACTTCCGGTATTTTGCCGGTTAGTCGACGCGAGCAAAATGAAGTCGAGGATTTTAAAAAATCGAATAGTCGAATAAAATCGACGAATCGCGACAGCCCTATTTCAAAGTAAATCCTACACCAGTTATTTTAGTGGCATTGCAACTTTTTGCCTTTATTTTTTAGGTTAGTATTTGTGAAGGTGTAAAACGTCTCTGTAAAATGTGTGATATGCATCATTAGTTGCATGTTGTAACCAGGCCAGGATTCAGATTAATGTCATACTATGAGGCCTCTTTAATGTCTCAATTATTTTCCCAAGACAGCAATGAGATCAAATGGAGATTTTCCACTTACAGTATATTCTACTTCTCAGATGTTTCTGCTAATAATTTGTTCTTATTTACCAATATATCAAATTCAACAATCAGAAGTCTCAGAATTCAGTATGAACTCACAAAAGAATTAAGCTGCTATCCACATTTGGTTTTATTTTAAGCAGTGTTAATTTACTATATGCTATACTATTATAGTTTTTATTCATATTTTGAATTATATTTAATTTGTAATATTTTCTGTTTTCACTTTCATTTTAGTTTTAGTAATTTAGTTGTTTTTGTAATTTTTAAAAATGTATACATAGTTATTTTTATTGATTAATTTATGTAGTTAAACTAAACGAAACTAAAGTTGATGTTGCCTTGTCATCTAGTTAAAATAAAATAAGCTTACGTTTTTTATCTTTTATTTCAGTGCAAAAATTATAAATGTTGCCTTGTCATCTAGCTGAAATAAAATAAGTTTAATTTTTTTTTAAAATATATATTTTATTTCAGTTAATGCCTATTTTATTTCAAGTAGTGATTTTTTGTCTTAGTTTTAGTTAACAATAATAACTCTGATTTTAAGTCCTCTTAGTGCATGACAACAACTGACAAATGTGTAGTTTTCTCTATAACTATGAAAGTTAATCTGCTGAGCAATACAGTTTTCTTAATATGAGCAAAACGTCATATGATTATAAGAGAGTTAAATATTTAACAGAATCAGAAAAGTATCATAATACATAGGCTTGTTGTAATCAACATAAAACTTTATTTCTGTCATCCTAAGTTTAAACTATTCCGTCAAAATCATCACTAACCAGCTCTTGACAAACTCTTTTCTGAGCACTAGAGATGTTAATAAAGAGTTTGAGACAGAGCGGATGCGAGCGCTGGAGATGTGAATGAGGACAGATGGCCGTTTAGGTTCGGTCATATCATCTGAAGTCCTGCTTCACACTTCACTTCACTGCCGTTACTGTGATGGGACTGTCAAACGATCTCAAACATGAACAGGGAGCAGGGGACTGGATTCTGCTCGGGACCGAGTCCAAA